CTGAAGGATCTGGTCGGGCGAGACGTCACTTTTGGCAGGAGGCGCTCTATACGCTTCCACTGCTTGAAACGAACATGAACTCCATCTCATCGAGATATAACTTCCGTAAGCCATATAAAGTTATAACAGAACAAATAAAAGAGCCGGAAGTAGCAGGCACGGTTCATATCTAGACCGTACGGTTCTAAAACAAAACAAGGCTTAGGATATGGAATATACTCCATATCCTTAAACCTAAACTTAAAATGGTTTGAGAGCAGTAGTGGCAGCCTAGTTCAAAACGAGCTCACGATGATTCTCGCAGCAAAAGAAATCACCAGAAATAATATCACTGAAAGAAACATGCTAATCTATAGATAGAAAACAAGCACTACTCACTCTGGACAAACCATGAATTTACTCAGGGTTAGAACTAGAATGTCACGAAGCTTTCGAAGTATTCGTCAGCAATGTAGTCAGTCTAAGATGGATCAAAGGTCAAGCGACATCGGAAGGTAACCATCTTGCTCATTCGCTAGACAAGAAGGCAGCCAACCTCAAATTTTTCGGGCCTGGTACTTCTATTGGAGTGACAACATCGGTAGTGACAAACCTAATTAAAGAACATTCCCTTGTGATATTCATGGAAAGATGGGATGAAAAAATAAGCTATCTACTTGCCGGGAAGCTTATAATTTATCCTAACAACATTACAGCAAACAAATATTTGACTATGACCAGACAGAATCCGCGCCTGATCACAGGCATTCTCACTGGTCATTGCCAAGTACGAAAGCATCTCCATGTCATGAGGCTGTCAGAATCCGCACTCTGCAGGGGGTGCGAACAAGATTACCATCGAGCATATCTTCTGTGTCTGTAACGTTGGAGGGTGGGTTACCCTCATAGCACTAAGGCCTCACTAGGTTCATTGTGCATCCTTCCAAGAGGCACCTCCTAGCTCGTGAGCCAGCCTACAGATTTATTGTAGTTGAGAACGTCGCCAAGAGGTGCTTCTCTTATATCGGCCGATACTCGCCGAACACAAATCTTTTAATAAATGAGAGCGTCGAGCAATCGTAAAGGATATGCTCGACGGTCTCATATTTTTGTTCGTACCCTCTGCAGAGTGCGGATTCTGATAGCTCCATGATATGAAGATGCTTCCGTAGTTGGCAATGACCAGTCAGAATGCCTGTGATCAGGCGCAGATTTTGTCTGTTTATATCTTCTATGAGGATATCCTCTACGAATTCCCAACACTCTCATTTATTAGTTCAGCAATAATTGGGTAACACTGGCCGATATAAGAAAAGCGCCTCTTGGTGACGTTCTCAACTACATTAAATCTGTAGACTGGCTTACGAGCTAGGAGGTGTCTATCTACTTCAGATGATGTACAATGGGCCTAGTAAGGCCAAAGTACCGTGGAATAAACCACCCTCCACACATTACAGATACAGAAGCCAATCTAATACTATTACACCCTCTGACCCCAAGGCATTTTTTGCGACTCTATTAGTATGCGGTGAGCCATTAATCTGAATAAATAAAAAAGCTTCTACAAAAGTCGTATTATAGGATGTAGCACCAAATCTACATACCTCTGCACAGCTAAAGTTTGTTGCATGGGAATTAAGGAAATTCTTTCCCATAGCATAACCTCGGTACAAGTCGTCCCAACAAACATTGAAATTGTTGCACGTTGTTGGCCCTTTAACGAACGGGATGGCAAAGGAAATTAAAACGGTTAACTTGTTGCTTTTGAAATTTATAATTAACTGCCCGTTAACTTTAATTTTTCGATGGTTCGTTGATGGTGTTAACTTTTTCTCACATTCAACTGGAAAATCGTTATGGCCCGTTTAAAATTTGTAATTAATTTCCTTTTAACTTTAATTATTCTATGGGCCGTTGGCGGTTTTTTAACTGTTTCGCACATTTAACTGTAAAAGCATGGTAAAAGTCAAAAGGCTTTTAACTGCTGCAGACCTAACCCCAACATTCCAGGTGGGCTCCGTCCCGCGTTTATAGATTGAGACGTCGATGGCCCCTTACTACATACTCTACGAGTGGACATGTACTATGCGGCCATTCTCGCATATCTAATATTTACTATTATTATTCATTGTAATTTCTAACTTTTACATGTTGGTAATTTAGAATATTTTATAAATACAGTTTTTGTAGAAGACACACTTGGTCCATTTCCTTTAAAAACCCCGTGCAAGCCCTTTGATGAGAAGTTAACTTTAATGTTATGGGAAACTGCTGGTCATGTGCAGGTCTTACACTAGTAATGCCTCGTAAAGTTACGAGCTTTATGCAAGTCTATTGAAGGATAGTTAACATTAATATTATGAGAAACTTCTGGCCATGTAAAGCCCTCTTACTACTTATTGCTGATAAAGTGACGATGACCTGCTGCCGGCCATGGTGACAAAAAGTCGACTTACTACCAATTAGACCCCGAATTCGAAAGGCCACTACTTGAAGTATAGTTAAAATTCACATTAAGTTGTTCAAGAATTGTTTTAGCATAGCAATATAAACTCCAATAATAAACGTTCAATGTTTTTGGGAACGTTTTTTAGTAAATTAAAAAAACTTGCATAATATGATATTCTTGTTTAGTTGGCTACTTCATATTATAGTTGATTAGTGATTAAAAAGCAAATTACGTTCTATTTATTAACCGACTTCAAAAAAGGAGGAGGTTATCAATTCGTCGCGATATATATTTTTTTTTTTTAATGTATGTTCAGCGATAATTCTTCAGCACGGTATCCGATTTCAATTATTCTTTTTTTGTTAGAAAGGGGGTACTTCAGGGGTAGTCCCATATATATTTGGTCAAAATCTAATAATTGGGTCAATGAGAAAATCCTCCAACTCTTCATTTTTTATGTATGTTCAGCGATAATGTTTTACCACCTTGTCCGATTTATATGATTCTTTTTTTGTTAGTAAGGGGGTACCTCAGGGGTGGTCCCATATAAATTTGGCACGTTTTTGAAGTCGGTTTTTTTTAATTTTTAATTTCTAATACTTGTAGAATAAAGATTCACTGATAATATCCAAATATTTGAACCTATATTTCGCGCACGAAGACTAACTAACTATTTTATGTTTTTGGCACTAAACAGTTTCCTTAAGAATTTTTAAACCTTTCTTTACTCTTTAATTAAGTACATGATATGAAAACTTAAACAATACTCAAAATTGGTCGATTAAATTACAGTTAAAAAAAATCCTTAGATATTCTTTTTAAAAGAAACTTACATTTCTCTGATTCACTTGCTGTTTTAGTATTTTAGTAGCAGATGATTATGGTGAAGAAGTAGTGATAGGCTTGATTATTATACTCCTCCCGTCGAAATTTATTGAAATTGCATTTTTCTTTATTATTTTCGTCCCCTGAGGTCTGTAATAAAATTCTTCTTAGCATAAAAAGTTATTCAGGTGGTCACTTGTTGATTTCCTAAATTTTGGAACCATTTATTTCTTTTTATCATCGCAAGAAAAGGAAACCTACAACAAAAACTAACAATAAACTTTACAAAGATGTGATATTAAAATAAAGTTACCGATTTAAATTTTCTTTATTTATGATAATTAGTAATTAACCTTTACTATAATCATTATAAGACGGATAAAGACGAACTTAGCTAGGGTTTATTCCCTCTTAATTTTACTTTTTTGATAAGAAAATAGGAAAGTTTAAATACAAATTAAAGATGATTGCCTAATACACCGTCTCTGATAATTAGGTTGTGTTTATACTTTCTTATGATATAATCTTGAAGAAGCTTTTTTAACAGGTCTTTTACACATAAAGCATGTTTTCACTGTATTATTATATATAATTAAAAATACAGTTACAACCCTTACAATGCTATAAATACTGTATCTTAAACTCTCTTAATTTCGGTTTATTATAAAGTCCAAATTTAGTAATGGTTTAACAGAAGCCAGGTAGTAAAAACAAAACTATAAGGGTAGATTACCACATGCAGGCGCGCCCGTAAGGATAGTCACAACGGCTGAAAAGCTCCCGAACGAGTATCCGACGGTATAACATAAAGGCAAAGAAGTAAATGCAGAGGTAAGAAAGAACTAGGAAACATAGCCAGAAACTAGACAGCAGAGCCCATAAAGGCCGAAAACAAACATCTTCTAAAGGAGAGTAAAAACACACTTATTGGGCTAACCACAACCAGCAAGTCCCTAGACAGGGTAAAAATCGGGAAGAAATATTGAATTAACACATAGTTCATATTCATCTCCAACAGCACAGCTAGGACCCTAAATACCGAAAAACCACAAAATAAGGTCCAAAAACCACTAAACCAAACAGTAGTCCAAAGCATGGAAGCCAGAAAAAGAAAAAATGGTACCCAACTCAAAAGTGTGGCGAAACCCAAACTGAATTCTTGAACTTAAAACTTAGAATCGGATATGCAGTTCCATGACTCACAGGAGAGCCAGAACGATTCCAACCAACAAAAAGATGAGTGCCAAAATGGAACATAAAAAAGTATGGAGAATACACAAAATAATGCGGTTCACAGAGACCCGATCAATGAAATTGAGAAAAAATCAACCTGATAAGTGACTATAATTCCAAGTATGTGGAAGAAAAGAAATAATTATCAAGCGCTTCGATATCCCCGCTCACGTCACGGAAAGGGTACTTAACTTCGCTACGGTTGAAATTACCACTTCAGAGGACGAAAACAATTAAAAATGTAGAAACAACAAAATAAACTACTTTTGTAATGGCATTAGCATGTTACGATCAACTAACCCCACTCAGAGCTATTAAAAAGTAATCTAATAGTGAAGAACCACATAAAATTTACTATTACTAAAAATACGACAATATTAAGGCATCTAAAACCCAGGTCTACCCTAAAAGTCAGAAACATATATCAACCCCCACGGATAATTCAAAAGAAATTACATTTTTTAAAAAAGATCCTCGTTACAGATATTTTATATAATATTTCTTAAAATTTTAGGGCTACTTGAGCGCTGTGTTAGATTCAATAAACAAGGACAAAGTCAAAGTCATAGGATACACAATGTGGAGTCTTTTGGACAATTTTGAATGGACAGAAGGATACAGGTAATTATATGGAGTGATCCACAAAAAATGTTTCTAAAGTATGCGTCAAAAAATTTTCGGATTTTAACAACCCCATTATATGGTGATGCTTCAGAAACTTGGCAATGACCAGTCAGAATGCCTGTGACCAGCGCAGAATATTTATGGTCATAGTAAAGTACTTGTTTGTTTGTTGTCAGGATAACTTAAAAGCTTCCTAGCAACTCTGCAATGTCTTGCTTAATCCAATCTTTCCTTGAATTGCACAAGGGAATGTTCTATAATTAGGTCTGTCACTACCAATTTTGGCAGGCCATCAGAAAGGCTAGGTCCAAAAGTATTTGGTTGGCTATCTTCTTGACAAGTGAATCAGCAGGATGGTTACCTTTCGATGTGGAGTGACCGTTGATCCGTCTTAAGGAGACCACATTGTTGATGGATACTTCGGCCAAAGCTTCATGACATTTTATTACCCTGAGTAAATTCGTGCCCTGTTCAGGGTGAGCAGTGCTTGTCTGCTATATTTATAGATAAGCATGTTCCTTTTAGTGATATTGTTTCTGGTGTTGCTATGAGAATCCTCGTGAGCTCTGTTGCCTACTTACTATTGCTTACTTACAGCCTATTTTGTTGAGTAAGGGAAGTGTGTTGAGAGGAGAAGTATGATGCTACCTTCGAGGTTGGCAGTTTTCATGCTATCCTCTTTGATTAGCGCACCAATGCTACAGTCTGAATCTTTTGAGAGAGCTTTTTGAAGCCTCGCTCTCTGCGGGAAATCTTCGATTACTTTGCAGTAGGATCTCCATGCATCTCTCTGTTTTGGTCTAACGATTTTTTTATATTACCTGAGGTGAGATTTGTAATTATCTCAGTCCGCTTTGAGTTTTGTGGTTCTTGTCTTATTAAAGGATTTTCTAGTCATCTTCCTGAGGTGATCCAACTCGTGACACACTCTTATAGGCATCGTTTATTATGCTTTGGATAGTGTTCAAGTATTTTTCTAAAGAATTGTTATTGTTTGGTGTTTCGGCCTCCACCCCTCTCAGAGTCTCTTTAAGAAGGTGGGACTAGGTTGCTCTGTCTGTCTTCCGAGATAGCGTAGAGGTCGGCAACATCTTTATTTTGAATGTTAACCAGCGGTGATCTGACATAGAAATGTAGACACTTGTCAGTTTAGAATTGATTTATAAATACCAGTTGTGGATAAAGTGATATCTATTAGTAATTGACTGCGAGAGTTTAAAAATGTTGGTGCAGTACCTTTATTTAAAATACATAGATTTTTGATAATTATGTAATCATAAAGTGACTTACCTCTAGCGTTGTTATCCTTTTACTGCCCCAACTAAAGTGATGAGCATTTGAGTCATAACTTATTACCAGCTCAAACTTCTGGTCCAGGCAGGATTCAATCAGACCCTCCATCTCTTTACTGGATTGTGGCGTGGTTGCGTCGGAAGAGAGGTATACATATGTCAGGATTAACGTTTTAAATAAATGGCTGTCCTAGGTTGTTGGTTTCTAGGAAAACTAAATATTTAACTATTTAGATTTTTAAAACCTACATGTTGGTTTTTATTATCCAGGAATCCTGAATGAGTGCTATTGTATATTGCACCTCATCTTTTGTGGTACAAGTTATATTGTATGATCGTTACCTCTTTTATTACTTCTCGGTCCTCCGTTGAAGTTTGGGCAGCAAGGTAGTTATTTATTCGACCATCCCTTCCTCCGAAAGTGGATAGGGGGTGATATCGTGTTTCCTTGCTGGAGGTTATCGGTTGCCATTTTTTCTAGTTCGACTTCCTACACTGTTGGCTTTACTTGAAGGGGAAGAGGGTCCTTTGCAAACGATTCTTCACTGGGTCTTGCTTCAGCCTCATTTTTGACCTTTGGCATTATAGGCAATGAGGTGAACGCATAACTCATTCTCAATAATTTGACCTTTAGGGTTCTCATGTTTTCGTTTCCGATGCCGAAGACGAAGAGTATTTCTTGGTCTTTCTTGGTCTTTCTTGGTCTTTCTTGGTCTTTCTTGGTCTTTCTTGGTCTTTCTTGGTCTTTCTTGGTCTTTCTTGGTCTTTCTTGGTCTTTCTTGGTCTTTCTTGGTCTTTCTTGGTCTTTCTTGGTCTTTCTTGGTCTTTCTTGGTCTTTCTTGGTCTTTCTTGGTCTTTCTTGGTCTTTCTTGGTCTTTCTTGGTCTTTCTTGGTCTTTCTTGGTCTTTCTTGGTCTTTCTTGGTCTTTCTTGGTCTTTCTTGGTCTTTCTTGGTCTTTCTTGGTCTTTCTTGGTCTTTCTTGGTCTTTCTTGGTCTTTCTTGGTCTTTCTTGGTCTTTCTTGGTCTTTCTTGGTCTTTCTTGGTCTTTCTTGGTCTTTCTTGGTCTTTCTTGGTCTTTCTTGGTCTTTCTTGGTCTTTCTTGGTCTTTCTTGGTCTTTCTTGGTCTTTTTTGGTCTTTCTTGATTTCATGGTGGAAGGGTGGAAGGTACACCATTTCGCCACATGCAAGTTGGGGTTTTACCCTCAAGTTGCCTGAGAACAACCTTCTTCTCGTCAAGGTCAGCGTGTGCTTCTCCTGGGATCCAGAGAGTGGCTTTGGTGAGCTTGGGGAGATTGTCTATCCTTACAACAGCAAGTGTTGCTCCTTCCCATGTTTTTAAAATTGATAACTTGGTTTCTAGCCATTCCAACGTTATGTCATCGTCGCACATTACTCTGATGATTTCACCAAAGTGCGTCCAAGACCTGAATGTAAGTAGCTTTGTTTTGCTGCAGGAGGCATATAAAATTATTTTTGCTAGCTCTTTCAACAGTGCCTTTTAGACAAGGATCTCTCTTTTGGTAGTTATCTTACCGTAAGAGTTATCCTTGTCTATTGTAGCTACTTTTAGATAGCTCGTAGCTGCATACTTGTAGCTTGTCCTAGACATAACTTTGTGGTCATGTCTGTGTTTTTTTGGGGCACTACTTCGGGAGAGGTGTCAGATCGTGGCCTTTTCTCTCTCCTCTTTGCCCAGAGACCCAGAGATACTCTTACCTCATCGGGGCCTATTAGTTGGAGATGAACTATGGTGTCCGGCCTTCTTTTTTGGAGGTAGGCGTCGCTGTCCATTCTCCTGTGCAGGAGTTGAACTTTGTTGTCCAGCCTCCGTCGCAGGAGGTGAGCGTTGACTTCCATCCTCTTTTTATGGAGCTTCCTACGCGGGAGTTAAACTTTGTTGTCCAATATCCTTTGTTGAAGGTGAGCGTTAACGTCCAGCCTGTTCGGTTTGTTGTTTTTGTGTTTCCATATGGTTCCCAAGAATGGCTAGGGAAGGAAAGGTCGACCGATGCAGAGCCTTGCATGCACCGGCAAGACTAGATACAAGAGAGAGTCGCCAGGTTGCCTCTGGGGAGCGTTTTCTGCCGAATCTGCACCTGCAATAATTCATCCGTCGGCACGTTACCTTAGTCCTTAGATTTGAGGAGTTGCTTCGCGGCGGTAACCTCGGCAGGCGAGATGTATATGGCCCTACCAACGTTGCAAGGCGGTCCAGCCGTAAAAACTGACGACCCTGATATTATTCGTTTCCTACTCGCACTAATGATAAATCCCTGTAGTTTTCACATGGACTTGTGTAACGGGTATTGGAAAACGTTAAGTGGCCGACACTGTATATCTGTGATTCATATTAGTTGATTTTATTACTGTTTAGGTTGACACTGTTTGATTGTTATTTTTATCTCATGATTTGTTTATCTGTTTATTTGTAACTATTCTGTTCTTTTTTTTTGACATGAGGCTCGTATAAATTTATGTAATTATAAGTAACAGTATTATATTCTATTGTATCATAACATTTTTTTAGTATGCACTATGGATTGTATTCCGTAAACTTAACTGATACGAAGAAAACCAGAATACCTAAAAAATCCGTCGAATACTATAAGCAAATAATTAAGGGACGACAAATTCCAACTCCACCTAAGACCACACCAGCTCCCCCTACAACAACCTCCACTACTAAGGAGCCCACATCTTCGACAAGTGAGAACCCCACAACTTCGACAACTGAGAAGCCCACATCTACAACTAAGGAACCGAATAGATCAACTAACCTGCATTCATCTGGTTTTTTCGTAGTTTTTGCAACGACTGTTATTTATTTATTATTTAAATTTTAAAGTAAAAATACTGTAAATGGTAGAACAAATATCGAATACTTGGTAAAAGATCGATATTTTACAAAAAAAAAAAAAATATCAGTCATAAAGAGATGCGAAAAAGCAACAATTGAAAAATAGAAAATTAAATTATAGCTTCGCCAAGAATAGACTTAATATTAACTTTTATTAGTTCCTACATTGGTATTTATGATTGTATATATGTAGAATCATTTAAGTTACTTGCAGTTAACAATTCCCATTCAATTACTTGATTTACCATATTACGTGGAATACGGGAGTGCTTGAAGACTGTACAATGTACATGTAAAGGTGTATTCTTAAGAAAGTATAGGTGTTAGAATGTGAGGTAGAACTTGATCTAATTTAGTTCCAATCAACTCCTGTCATAACTTCTAATAGATACTTATTTTTTATGAATTCAAACTGTGTATTTTTTAAATAGAGTTAGATATTATTTTACCATTTTTATCAGATCAAAATTGAATAAAATTTTAATATTTTTTACTTTTGAATATTTTTTTAGTTATATTTATTTTGAACCTACATCTTACGACTTTTACTTGGATTGATTTATGTTCTGCCAATTAATAGTTGTAAATTGCATATATTATAAATTCACTATTATTATTTTGTCTTTTTTAATAAAATCATGTTTTATTTTGTAAATATTATTTTTAAATACAACAGAATGTCGCACAAATAATTAAATCACGTTGGGCGCCAACTAAACTGGCGGCTATTCGTAGGTAGAATCAGTCAAACTAAAGTTTGGTACATGGAATATAGAGGTAAGCAGGAACCTATCATGTGGTTGTTTAACTTAAAAAGTGTCCACCAAACGATACAAAAAAAGGCCACAATGCCACTCATGTGCTATAGGGTATAACCTAAAAACTACACCGTCAAGAACTTAGAATATATGTGAAGAGTGATTGAGCTATACGGTTCCCGGAAAATTGGTCTAAAACAGTTAGTCTAAAACATTTAGTCTAATATCAATTGATCTAAATACATTTTATCTAAAAACCAATTGGTCTAAATTGCATTTGATCTAAAATCTGTTAGTCTAATGTTCAATAGACCTAAAAGACAATTGGTATACATGACATTTTTTCTAAATACAATTATTCTAATTACTACAAAAGGAAATTTTTGTATTTTAGATAATTTAATAAATGTCAAAAAATGCAAACTAGATCAAATTTAATATAACATAAAATTGTATTAAAGTATTTACCTAATCAAAGGAAATCAATAATCAAAAACAGCAAAATATGTACATGAAAAAAAAAAACAATATAAATTATAATAATAATAATAATAATATTAATAATAATAATAATAATAATAATAATAATAATAATAATAATAATAATAATAATAATAATAATAATAATAATAATAATAATAATAAGACAAGATGTAAGTAAAGGCATCAACTAATAAGAACAAAAATCTTAAGTTAAAAAAAGAGGCAACTAAATGAAATAACTAATTCTTTGTAATATTGCTACCAACTGTTCATCGTCTAATTCATTAAAATCAGAGCTTAGCACTATTCTTCTAATACGTTGTTTAGTATCCTTATATTTTTTCTTGACGTTGTTGCCATCTTGAGTCTGTTATTTTATTATTTTAATCTCTGTTATGGTTTGTTCCTTCTGAAGTGATTTAATAAATTGCCACAGAGATGGCTGTTTTGCATCAAATTGTTTTTTTAGAAAAGAGTGCCATCCCTCAATATGATTGTTAGTAGTAGGCAAATTCCTTTGAATCGTATCAAAACTGTTCCAAAGCATCTGAGGATAAATAGGTGGAGCAATGTTTTTTCTTCCATCCCAAGTATTTTGAAAATATTCAACAAATCTTCTAGCCTCTTCTGGAATCAGGTCGTCGCGGTTACATAACAAAGCAAACGCTCTATCTACGAGTGTAACTGGTATAAATGCAAGAGCTTTGAATAACTTAATAGAGCTTGAAAAATCTGGATCTGTATCATACAAATGTTTCAATCCCTTATTTTGTATATTTCTGTATAAATATTGGGAGAAATGGAAGTAGCAGCCCTTATGCAAAACATTGGGAAATATTATCTGAATCGAGTTTTTTAAGGCCATTTCAAAATCGGTTATAATAATTTTGACGTTTTTCTGAATAACCACTTCGTTCACCTTTTGTAAAACTCTTTTATATATTTTTTCTGTTTTGTTTGCTAAAAGCATATAAATGCATGGAACTACAATTTGCCCTATTTCTCCATGTATAGAAAAAAATTGTGCAAATAGTGGTGGAGTTATATGGAAAGTTCGATCCATATACCAAATAGATGAATTTGATAACACATTTAGACATTCTCCTGATCCAAATATAACAAAACGCTCGGGTTCCGGTCCAGAATCAGAAAGTAAGAATGTGGTACCTTTCGCTGTAAGCTGATATTCTTCTGGTATTTTAAGAGCTTCCAAACATGAAGAATGAGCAGGAAAATTATTTTCTCTCGCCCTGATATTTCTTATTGTTCTTTTCATACTACTGGTAGAAGGTAAAGTAGCTAGACCTTTGGCGCTACAAGAGTCCAATGCAGTTGCTATAATTGATTGCAAAGTTTGTACAGATGATTTTGCTTTTTCTTGGATATCCTGCAGTGACTTTTTTATTTCAACTTTTTCTGGTTCCCCGGGATGATTATGATCTGTATGTATTTTTTATTTTTTTCTATAACTCTTCCTTTACAACCAAATTTGAAATTGTGGCATTTCCATTAGGTGGCAGTTGAAGTTTGGCGATTTTTATAATAATGAAAACCTTCGAAATACAATATTTTTCTCCCTTTCTCGCTCAATAATGAATCCATATTTTACACATTCAATAATTATGTCTGATTAAATGTCTGAAGTTTTAAATTATATAAAGATTTTTGGCAAACCAATAAAACTAAGATATATATTCCAAAGTATTATTCAGGACATAAAATACATAATAAGAACTGACATATATCTGACAATCAATCATATAAACAATAAATAGGATCGCGGCTGCCAATACCTTCTAATAAGGCTCAGTTCAAATTCATTTCGACACCCTCCCTATTTGTAATAAGTCCTTGGTTTCTAACACAATTTAAAAACTTTACTTTTTCCAACGGCTTTGTAAAGGAATCTGCAACCATGGATTGGGTAGGTACATACTTCAGGGTTAAAAGTCTATCAGCAATTTTTTCTTTTAAAAAATGGTGACGTACATCAATGTGCTTAGTTCGAGCTTGATAAGCTCCATTCAATGCTAATTTCTCAGCACCTTGATTGTCGACATTAATTAAGGTTGGTTTACAGTTGAAGACAACTCACGACTTAAACCACGCAACCATAATGCCTCTTGAGCTGCAGAAGATAAAGACATATACTCAGTTTCTGTGGTTGACAATGCTACTGTAGACTTACTGTTCCATGAAATCGGCGAATTGTTTTTGAAAAAAATGTATCCAGTGACTGATCGTCTATCGCCTTCGTCACTTGCCCAATCAGCATCGCAGTATCCGACTATATCTGTTTCAACAATTTCCTTTCCTTTAAACTCCAACTTATAATCAATCGTTCCTTTTAAGTAACGGAAGATACGTTTTACCGCTGCCCAGTGGGTAGGTCCAGGATTATGATTAAACCGACTAACACAATTGACTGCATAACAAATGTCGGGCCTTGAAACTTGAGCTGCAAATAGTAAACTACCCACTGCTTCTTGGTATGGAACTCTTTCCATTTTTTTAATCTCATCTGCATTGGTTGGAGATTGTTTTTTGACAATTTTTCTCCACTACATGAGGGAGTTTCCACAGGATTGGATTCGTTCATATTAAATTTCTTTAAGACCTTTTCTATATATGAACGCTGATCAATCCAAATTTTTTTATTAACACGATCCCTTGTTATTTGAAATCCTAGTACCGATTTAGCTTGACCAATGTCTGTCATTTTAAAATTGTTCATCAATTGAAATTTCAAATCATCTTTAGCTTCTTTGTTATTGTACAAAAGTAACATGTCATCTACATATATGGCCATTATCAGCACTAATTCCTTGGTTATTTTAAAATAAATACAAGAATCAGTTTTAGACTGTTTTAGTCCAACTTTCTTTAAAAACTGGTCAACTTTCTGATTCCAAACACGACTAACTTGTTTCAATCCATAAAGAGATTTTTTTAACTGATAAACTTTATTTGTTTTATTATAGTATTCCGGGGGATTCATGTATATTTCTTCATTTAGATCTCCTTGTAAAAATGCTGTTACTGCATCCATTTGATCAATTTCGAGGTTGTGTTCTGCTGCAAATTCAAGTAAATATCTTATAGAACTATATCTCACAACAGGAGAATATGTTTCTTCAAAGTCAATACCTTTGCGCTGCGAACAACCCTTGATCACTAGACGAGCCTTATACTGAGGGTTTATTTCACCTTCTTTAAATTTTGTTTTGAAAACCCACTTGCAGTTTAATGGCTTTTTACCTGGAGGTAAGTCTACTAAGTCCCACGTGCCATTTTCTATTAGTGCATCATATTCACTCTGCATCGCGTGAAGCCAGTGATCCTTATCTGAACTGCTAAGAGCTTGCTCTACAGTTAAAGGATCAGGATGACCATCTTCATCGATTATTGCTGAATATATTACATAATCTATCATCGCTTTAGGTGGTTTTCTTGTTCGTTGAGGTCTATTTACGGATTCTTCTCTAACAGACACTTCTTCCTCAGGTTCGTAGGTAGGGTCGATAGGGTCATCACTGTCTTGAATGGTTTCATTTTCTGAAATATCCTGATCAAGGATTTCATTTGAAGAATTGGAAACCTCGCTCAATATTTCATTTTCATGTACTATATTTTCTACCTCTACGGTTTCTATAGGTTCTTGATTTTCAGATATAAACAATTCTGGAAAGAAAGTTTCATTTTGGGATCGAGTATTTATATTTTCTATAAATAAAGAACCATTTTCATTTTCAATAAATTGTACGTTTCGAGACACAAAAACAATATTCTTTTTAGGATAGTAGAGTCGGTAGGCTTTTGATTCTTAACTGTAGCCAACGAAGATAAATGGAATTGCTTTAGCATCTAGTTTCTTTCTCTTTTGGCTAGGAAAATGTGAAAAAGCCTTACAACCAAATATTTTCAAATGTTTTACTGTTGGTTTTGTTTTACTCTACGATTCTTCAGGTGTCTTCTCGATAGCTCTACTAGGTAGTCGATTAAGTATGTACACCGAGGTATACACGGCTTCTGCCCAAAAATCATTTGGTAAGGCTGATTCAATTTCTGCTTTACCATTTTGCTCTGGGGTATACGGAGCAGATAATTGATGTTGTATACCTGTAGCTTTAAAGAAATTTGAAATTTCGGCGCCACAATATTCACCACCGTTATCGGTTCTAAAACATTTAATTTTTTCGCCTGTCTGTGTCTCGGCAAAATTTTTAAAAATCTTAAAATATTCGAACACCTGGTCTTTAGATTTAAAAAAATAGACAAATCATTTATGGCTAAAATCGTCAAGGAAAGTTAATACATATCGTGAACCAGATAAACTTTTCACTTGCATTGGGCCACATAA